TTTTGTAGGGCTTCTAGTTTGCTTATTGTGCCTGGATGCTGTTCTTTGTGCGCAACTGTTTTTGTTCAGGGCCTGTCGCTGGCCTGCTTGGTCGGCCTGCTTCTTTTCGTGAAGTGTTATTTTCCGTTCGGCTTCTACTTTGCTTTGTTTTTGGGTGTGTGGCTGCCGTTTTCGTTTTTGCGCAGCTGGATTTTGTTCAGGGCCTGTCACTGCCCTGCTTGGTTGCGCAGCTGGATTTTTTTCGGGGCCTGTCACTGGCCTGCTTGTTTGGCCTACTGCTTTTCGTGAAATGAGATTTTTTAGTAGAGCTTGTCATAACATCAAACAATAAGGAAAACATTCCATCAAAGTGAGGAAGGCCACGCATCACAACAACACTGATGTGCCTCTTAATAGTGGCAAAGTCCTTTTGCTTGGAAAGTGCATTTGATGCGCTATCTAAACTTGCAAAACTAGCAAACCAGACCAAACATAGCAAAGCAGATAAGAACACAAAATACAAAAGCAAGATAAACACAGATGCACAAACAGATGCTTTATTATCTTCAATTTCTTTTGGTTAGAGATGTGGAAGGTACAAAGATGTCTTATCTTTTATTTTCCTGAGTAGCTATGCCTAAGTCTACTATATCCCCGGCGGAAAATAACCAACCGCATCTGATAAGAAAAAATAATATGTTAACCACCTCAAAAACAGACTTATATCTGACTTACTATCTTCTATTTCAATCCATTTCCAAGCTGTCTGACTCCGAGCCTTCTTACAACTGGAAGCAACTGCATTACGCATGGGGCTGACTCGTTTAACCACTGTACATGCGCGCGCGCCCGCTCACCCCCGCGCGCGCCCGTGCCCCCCGCGCGTACACACGTACACCCCGCCCGCGCGCACGCCGGGCACGTACGCGCACCGGGCACGTATGGCCTCATTTTTGAAAAAAACTAGCCCTTATTTGTGTACGTGCCCGGTGCGCGAGCGGGCGCGCGGGCGGGGTGTACGTGAGCACGCGCAAGGGGAACGGGCGCGCGCGGGGTGTACGTGCGTGCGCGCGGAGTGCCGCACGGGCGTGCAAACGTCGCGCGCGCGCGCCAGGCGCGGGCCTGGCCTTATTTTGCAAACTAGCCCTTTTTGTCTACATGCCCGGCGTGCGCGCGGGGCGCGCCGGCGCGCGTGCGAGAGTGCACATGTGTACGCGCAGGGTGGACAAGCACGCGGGCGCGCGAAGCGTGAGTGCGTGCGTGCAGGGCGCGCGCAGGCGTGCAGGCGCCGTAGGTCCTAGTTTTTGGAAAAATTAATTCTTGAACAACAAGCCCTTATTGGTGTACGTGCCCGGCGTGCGTGCGGGGCGCGGGCGCGGGCGGGGTGTATGCGCGCGGTTGCGGGGTGAGCGGGCGCGCGCAGGCGCACGTGCACGTACAGGGGGCAAACGAGCCAGCCCCACGCATGAAGCAGTTACTTCCAGGGGCCTCGCGCCCAACTCCCTGCAGCTCCCTCTTTTCCAGTTTTTTGCTTCCAGTTCCTTGCTTCCAGGTCCTTGCTTTCAGTCCAGGTCTCTGCTTCCAGCCCCTGCTGCCAGTTCCTGCTTTCAGGTCCTTGCTCCTTGTTCCATGCTTCCAGATTTGTTGCTTCCAGTTCCCTGCTTCCTGTTTCCAAGTCTTTGCTTCCCTGCTTTCCAATTCCTTGCTTTCAGTCCGCTGCTTCCAGTTCCCTGCTTCCAGCTTTGCGGCTTCCACTCCATACTTCCAGGCCCCTGCTTCTACGTAGCTCCCTGCTTCGCCTGCCCTGCTTTTCAGGTCCAGTTCCGCCAGCTTTCCTTGTCCAATTCCGTGCTTCCAGTTTCCAGTTCCTGCTTCCAGGTCCTTTCTCTGCTTCCAGATCTTTCAGGTCCTTGCTTCAGGACCAGGACCTCCGTGCTTCCAGCTCTGCTTTGAGGTCCTTGCCTAGCTTTCTAGTTCCTTGCTTCCATTCCCGGCTCCAGTTCCCTGTTTTCAGTTCCACCATAGAGGTTCTATATAATGTCTTGCTTTGGAATCGTTGGAAACGAAAAGGACAACGGCACTTCCTAAAACGCCTCCACAATTTGCGTCTTGTAAGTGAAACCAATTCGGCCAAACATCAGAAAGGCAGATGTTAGACCGTTCCGCACGCTCGCACGTCCGCCGCGCGGGATGGATGGATGCCTGGCGGGATGGCTGGATGGACGGGTGGGTGCATGGCTGGGAGGGTGGGCGGGTGGGCGAGTGGGTGGGGTGGGTGGGGTGGGTGGGGTGGGTGATGGATGAGAGCGCGCGCCCGCCCCATCAAGACTGGTTCGGGGAAGGCTGGCTCCGAACGCGGGGTTGCGGGGTGGCGACACTGCCGACGCTGCCGGGATGCTGGGTTTTTGCAGAGTTTTGAGCCTTCCCCCAACTCGAGCTCCTATGGCCGCGTCCGCAAACGTTTCCCGCAAAGCAGTATGGGTGAGAAATCGCATCTCGAGCAAAAAAACATGGTCGTCCAAATCAGACCACGTCCAACCGTCCTGTTTCGCGGGCAAATCAGTGCGGGTAAGAAAGCGCAGCGCGTCGAACAACTCAGGCTGGGTAAGAAAAGAACCCGGCCTGTTTCTTGGTCAGAATCAGGACCGGCAAGAATCAGGGTATAAAGAATCGCAGCTCGTCCGACCCGTCCTGTTTCACAGAAAACAGGGCGGGTGAGAAATCACGGCTGGTCCAACCCGTCCCGCTTCTCCGGCGAATCAAAACGGCCAAAAAATCACAGCTCGACAAGGGCTGTGCGGTTTCCTGGCCAAATCACAGGTAAAAAGCACGCAAGAAACCATAGCTGGCCCAACCTTTACTGTTTCCCGGCTCGCGTTTCAGAACTTGCCCAACCCGCCCTATTACTCTTGTTCGTCGAACCCGTCCAATTTTTCGAGGAAATCGCAGCCCGTCCTGCTATCAGGACCCGGAATAACTACTGCTAATTAAGAACTGTGATGCAATGCAGCCGCTTTCCGAGCTAATGCGAGGACAAGCAAAAGCACCGCCCACTCCTAGTTGAGTGTGAAGGAAAAGCGCGCCCTGTTTTTTGAGCAAATCACGCCCGTCCTGTTTTTCAGGCAAATCAGGACAGGCTCAGGAAAGCAAAAACGTCGTCCACCCCACTCCCCCAGTTGAGCCTGAAGGAAAAGCATTGCTCGTCCAACCAGTCCTGTTTTCGAGCAGATCAGGGCGGGAAAGAAATAGCTTGCCCAGCCGGCCCACCCCGTCCTGTTTTCCCGGCAACTCGGACAAGCAAAAACATCGTCCACTCCAGTCCAACCCATCCTGTTTTTCAATTCAGGATGGGCTTGCCGTGTCCAACCCGTCCATCAGAACGGGCTCAGCACAAGCAAAAACGTCGCCATTGCACCCCTGGTTTGGGCCTGAAGGAAAAAGCGTTGCTCGTCCAACTTGTCCAGCCGGCCCAACCCGTCCTGTTTTCCATGCAAACTCAAGGAAAAAGTATCGCTCGTCCAACCAGTCCTTTTTGAGCAAAATCAAGACGGGCACAAAGCCAGCTCGTCCAGGCTCAGGGCAAGCAAAACATCGTCCACTCCTAGCTCCCCTGAAGGAAAAAGTATGGCTCGCCCAACCCCTGCTTTTTTCAAGCAAACCAAACAGCTTGTCCAGCCAATACGCAAATCAGGACTAGAATCGGCTAGGGCTGGGACCAGGGGAAACCAGGAATCCATCCGGGGTTCACAGCGAACGCAAACAAAAACAACAAATACCACGCTACTCCGCTCTGCAGTGAGCTTGAGAAGAGGAAGCAGAGAGGCTGGGCGGATTCTAGAAGTGATTCGGAAATGCGCGCGCGTACGCGTGTCCGCGCGCCCGCCTCTCCGCGCGTACGCCCGCGCGCCCGCGCGTGCGACCCGCACACACCCGCGCACGCACCTGGTCGCCCGGCGAGCATGCGCGCGCACCTCGCGCGCACGCACGCAGGCGCGCCTCCCCCGCACGGCCGCGCGCGCCCGCGCACAACGGACGCGCGCCCCACGCACCCTGCGCGCACGCGCGCGCGCGCGCCCCGCGCTCACGCACGCGTGCCCTGCGCGTACGCACGCGCGCCCCGCGCGTACGTGCGCGTGCGCCCCGCACGCATGCACGCGCGCGCGTGCGCGCCCTACACGTGCGCATATTCAGATCCTCCTCACACAGGCCCCTTGGACTTAGCTAACTTAAGAGTTTTCACACACATGTACATGTATATGTCCATATTATCGTGCAACAGGTAGGCGCTCCGGTGCCGCTCCTGTGGACTAGCTCCATGCATCAAGCGCAGGCAGAGAAGATTCTCCATGCACTCCAACGCCGGCGGCCGTGTCCAGTAAACAAAGTTGTTTGGTGCTGCTCAAAGCCAGTTCGACCCCAATTTTCCTGCAAAATGGTACACGGCACGGAGTTTCAGATTTCCATGTTGGGCGCACATTCGTGCAGGGCCGTGGAGTGAGACGTGACTCCAAGGCCACAGCGCCGGAACATGTTTCGGGCGCTTCTGAAAAGAGCCTGAAAACAATACTCATGCAAAAGCCAGGTTCTGCTTGCAGTTTGCAGTTGTCGCCTACTTCTCGACCGGACATGTCGTAGAGGCCGGTCATATGTAGATAGTTTGTTTGCGCTTGAGCCAGCCTGAAAAGCAGCAACCAGCCAGCGTCCTTCGACATGGTGCTGCTCTGCAAAGGGTTCCTCAAAGAGGGCTCCTTTGCAAGCTTGCTTCAGCTGAGCCACAATCAACAATTGAGTGCTTGAAGCTTGGTAGGAGGCAGGCCCAGCCACATTTCTTGGGCATACCAGGCAGGTGTGGGTTGTGACTCAGATGACGAGTGGTTTAGCACGACGCGTCCTCTCCAATTGCAGCCAGCGAGGCTCTTGGCCAAAGAAGTTGCGGGCGCCCGAAACATTGAAATTTGCCACCTCGATGCTGCGAACATGATCGGGACCCTCCTTCCAGGTTTGCATTTGATTGCTGGCAGGTTGGGCTATGTTCAGTGCCGGCTTTTGGCTGCCTTTGGGCAACACGGAAAAGGCGGGTTTTGCCACATTTGACCACATGAATGCAGCCTTTCCCAACAGGATTCACGCTGCCCCGAACACTGCCTACAAGGCGTCACTGGCAAGAGCCTGTCAGAAGGGAATCTATGTGGCCTGCCAAAAGCAGCCAGTTGGAAACAGAAGTGTGTGCTGCTTGGATGGATTTTGCGTGCGCTTTGCACAGTGCCCGCTTCCTTCATTATAGGCAGTGGACCATGGAGAAACTGAATTCTGGCCATGTGCTCTGAACCGAAGTTGCCATGGCCGAAGGCGCCCACACACGGCTCGCCGCGCAGCGGAGAGCGCAGAAAATCAGACTGATCAGGACCTGAGCAGCGCAGCGTTTTACAAGCTTATGTTGTTCTCCTGTGTGTTCTCCGAAGCAAGACAACGGCAAGGCTAGACTTTGTGATGTTGCAAAGTATTCACCTCCAGTAAACACTAAATGCTCAGAGTTGGCCGGCTTGAGCCGGAAAGTTCCTCCTGTTCGCTTTGGGCAGTGGCTTCTTCGCCTTCCACCAGCCGTCTTCGCGGGTCATCGCGAGCCACATGGGCAGTGATGGAGATAAAGGGGCGAGACATCTGCCTTCCGATTGTATCGCTGGCTCCTTCGAAACTTCATGACTGGGCCGTATGAAGCCTGTCCCGACACCTGTTTTCATCTGCTGTGTGTAGCTCGGGTCGGTTTGTCTGTCTTTTGGTTTGTTCGCCTGTCTGGTCTGTTTGTTTGTTCGGTTGCCTGCCTCCCTGCCTGCCTGTCCTTGTTTTCGGCCATCTGTTGTCTGTTTGTCAGTCTGTCAGTCAGTCTGTCAGTCAGTCTGTCAGTCAGTCTGTCAGCCTGTAGTTAGTCAGTCTGTCAGCTCGTTTGTCCGTCTGCCAGTCTGTCTGTGAGTTTACTTCTCTGCCTGTCTGACTGCGCCCGTGCGGGCGGCTTGCTGCTGCTGCTGTTGCTGTTGCAGTTGTCGTTGTTGCTGCTGTTGTTGCGGTGTCCGTTGCTGCTGCTGTCGCTTTGCTGCTGCTGCGTTGCTGTTTCTGTTGGTGTGGCTGTCACTGTTGTTGTCGTTGGTGTTGTTGGTGTTGATGATGCCGATGTTGTTCTTGATCATCTTCCTGCTCTCGCTCTTGTTCTTGTTGCTAGTTTTGGTGTTTGTGTCGTTGTTGCTGTCGTTGCTGTCGTTGTTTGTTGCTGTCGCTGTTGTCGTTGTTTTTTCGGTCTTGTCGGTGTTGTCTGTGTCGTCGGTAATGTTGGTGGCAGCGGTGTCATTGTGGTTGTTGGGGTTGGTGTTCGGGAACTCGATCAACCAAGCAACAACAGCAACAACCAACTGCAACAACATCAACCGCCAACAACAACGACAACAACACCAACAGCAACACTACCAACAACATTCAACCAGCCAGCCAGCCAGCCAGCCAACCAACCAACCAACCGCAACAGCAACAACAACAACGACGACGACAGCAGCAACAACAACAACAACAACAACAGCAGCAACAACAACAACAACAACAACAACAAAACAACAACAACAACAACAACAACAACAACAACAACAACAACAACAACAACAACAACAACAACAACAACAACAACAACAACAACAACAACAACAACAACAACAACAACAACAACAACAACAACAACAACAACAACAACAACAACAACAACAACAACAACAACAACAACAACAACAACAACAACAACAACAACAACAACAACAACAACAACAACAACAACAACAACAACAACAACAACAACAACAACAACAACAACAACAACAACAACAACAACAACAACAACAACAACAACAACAACAACAACAACAACAACAACAACAACAACAACAACAACAACAACAACAACAACAACAACAACAACAACAACAACAACAACAACAACAACAACAACAACAACAACAACAACAACAACAACAACAACAACAACAACAACAACAACAACAACAACAACAAGCAGCAACAACAACAACAACAACAACAACAACAACAACAACAACAACAACAACAACAACAACAACAACAGCAACAGCAACAACAACAACAACAACAACAACAACAACAACAACAACAACAACAACAACAACAACAACAACACCAGCAGCAACAACAACAGCGACAGCAACAGCAACAGCAACAGCAAGAGCAACAGCAACAGCAACAACAACAACAGCAGCAGCAGCAGCAGCAGCCAGCAGCACCAGCAGCAACAACAACAGCAGCAGCAGCAACAACAACAGCAACAGCAACAGCAACAGCAACAGCAAGAGCAACAGCAACAGCAACAACAACAACAACAACAACAACAACAGCGGCAACGGCAACGGCAACGGCAACGGCAACGGCAACGGCAACAGAAACAACAACAACAACAACAACAACAGCAGCAGCAGCAGCAGCAACAGCAACGGCAACGGCAACAGCAACAACAACGACAGCAGCAACAACAAAAACAGCAACAACAACACCGACACCAGCGCCAACAACAACAACAACACCAGCGCCAACAACGACAACGACAACAACAAGAACAAAAACAAGAACCAGAAGAAGAAGAATAAAGAAACAAAAAACAAACAAACAATCAACAAACAGACAACCAACAAACAACCAACAAACAAACAAACAAACAAACAACAAATAAACAACCAAAAAACAAACAAACAAACAAACAACGAACAAACAACCAACAAACAACCGCCACAAATAGCCAACCAACCGAACAACCAACCACGCAACGAACTGACCGACCGACCGACCGACCAACCAACCAACCAACCAACCCCCACGCATGCCTCTATGAATTTCATTGCCTACTTTCACTGCTCATGCCTCTATGCATTTCACTGTGCACTTTCCATACGCATGCCTCTATGCATTTCATTGTCATATGCGCTTCGCTCTGCACTTGCCTTACGCATGCCTCTATGCATTTCACTGTCTACTTCCCCTGCACGTGCCGCCGTGCGTTTCACTGTCGAATTTCCCTGCGCATGCCTCGATGCATCTCACTGCGCACTCTCCCTACGCGTGCCGCTGCGCATTTCACTCTGCACTTGCCCTACGCATGCCTCTATGCATTGTACTGTGGACTTTCTCTGCGCGTGCCTCTATGCATGTAACTGCCTACTTTCCGAACTTGCAGCCGGAGCTGCGGGGGTGTTTTTCGCGAACTACTTTTGTACTCAAAAGTTACGACTTTGCAGTCGAAGCTGTGGGGGCGCTCGTCGCGTACTACTTTCGCACTCAAAAGTTACGACTTTGCAGCCGGAGCTGCGGGGACGTACTTCGCGTACCACTTTCGAACTTAAAAGTTGCGAATTTGCAGGCGGATCCCTGCAGACGGTCGCGCGCAGACCACGAAAATGTCCCGTAAGAATCTTCGCGAGAGCGATCGGACACGCGCACGGCAGGAATCGCAAAAAAGCACGCAGCTTTTGCACCTCGACCGCGCCGACCCCGCACGCAGAGGGCCGCGCGCGCACGGCAGGAGTCGCAAAAAACCACCAGTTTTTGCGCCGCACGCGCGCCTCAAGATTCGCAAAAAAGTAAATCACAGTTTTTGCACATCGACCGCGCCGATCAAAATCTCTTCAGCTGCACCTCGGCCACGCCGATCTTTGAGAGAGTCGCGTTTTCGCACAGCGCGCTTGGTGGAGCCGCGCCGCCCTAAAATACTAACTTTAAGAAAGCGTGCAGGTTCCTCGTGCAAGTTGTGCTCATCCGAGAAGGAATGCAAGATCGCTACGCATTTGACTCTGTACTTTCCCTACGCATGCCTCTATGAATTTCACTTCCTACTTTCCCTGCGCATGCCTCGACGCATTTCAAATTCTACTTTCCCTGCGCATGCCTCTACGCATTTCACTGTTTACTTTCCCTCCGCATGCCTCCATGCATTTCACTGTCTACTTTCCCTGCGCATGCCTCCAGGCATTTGACTCTGCGCTCTCCCTACGCATGCCTTTGTGCATTTTACTCTGCACTTGCCCTACGCAGGCCTCTTTCCATTTTGCTGTGCGCTTTCTCTACACACGCCTCCATGCATGTCACTGCCTACTTTCCGAACTTGCAGCCAGAGCTGCGGGGGCGTGCTTCGCGTAGTATACTTTTGTTTCTCAAAAGTTGCGACTTTGCAGCCTGCTCCTGCAGACAGTCGCGCGCACGCAGACCGCGAAAATATGCGAAGATTCACACGGGACCACAGCGAGCGGGATGGGGCACGCAGAATCTTCGCTCAGGCTCGCGCGCGAACTGCGAAGATTCGCACGGGACCATGGCGAGAGCGATCCAGCGCGCGCGATATCTGCAGAGGGCCGCGCGCGCGCGGGGCAGGAATCGCAAACAAAGGCAGTGTTTTGCGCCTCGAGCGCGCCGATCCCCGCGGAGGGCAGCGCGCGCGCACGGCAGGCATCGGAAAAATCATTGTTTTTGCGCACCTCGAACACGCCGACCCCCGCAAAGGGTCGCGCGCGCCGATCTTTGAGAGGGTTGCGTTTTCGCAGAGCGTGCTTGGTCCCACCGCGCCGCCTTAAGATACTAGTTTCAAGAATTTAAGACAACGTGCAAGTTCCTCGTGCAAGCTATGCTCGTGGGAGAAGGAATGCAAGATCACTACGAACTTCAATGTCTACTTTCCCTGTTCATGCCTCTACGCATTTCACTGTCTACTTTCCCTGTGCATGCCTTTATGCATTTCGCTGTCTACTTTCCCCGCCTGGGTGATGGTCATGTGTAGCACCGTTGTGGATTCAGCGATGTGTAGCCATCGAGAAAATGCAGCGCAGTCAGGTTCCAAGCTGGACACGCCGTTGGCGGTGAAGCGCGGCTTGTCCTCTGACGACCGCCTGCTACTTGGCCGGCTTGACGCCCAGCCAAGCTCATTGAGGGTTAGTGCTTGGCGCAGACACAGTTTTGGCGCGAGTGTGGCGCAGCTGCTGCTTGATGTGGCTGCCAGTGCATTTTTGAATTGCGGGGGTCAAGCGGGGTAAACACACAAACATTTTTCACGGGCACCAAGCAGAACAAGCCGGTGAAGCTGTTCAGGAGCAGTGTTTTGGCACGATGACTGCCCCTGAGCATCACTTGACACGCGCAGTATTCATGCCTGACAGACAGTCAGCTCGCCAACAAAGCCTCCAACTGACAGTCTCCTCTCTCCACTTCCCCCACCCTAGTAGGCTACCGACCTACACTACCATTGGCGCTAGTCAACTTCACGGCCGAGCCATGCGCGCAATCCACAGGCGATGTCTGCTCAGCGGCCATCCATGTCGATCCGGAGTAACGATGTCGAAGACAAATTTGTAC